CTTTTTAAGTATTCCGTCTAGTTTTTCCTCCCTTTCCTTTTTACTTGCTCTATTATTCCTTTTATTCCCATAACTGTCACATTCTCCCTTTACTACCATTAGTAACCTTACCCCGCATTTTTCAGGGAGAAGATCACCTGTCGAGGCTACAGTTGAGTTTGGAGTAAGTTGTGCAAGTTTCGGCTAGAAGGACCCACAGACCACTCGGTTTCCCCATGGCTCAGCAAATGAAGCTCAAGGACTTTTGAACGGAAAGTGTGTGATGTTGATTTTCCTTTAAAAGGCTCCAAGATGGAGGCTGACGGATCTGCATTTATTAACTTTGTTAGTGTCAAACGGAGGATATTTTTTGTTCCCTTTGCTCTTGGAATGCTTCCCACACACACTGACCACAACCGAAGACATGTGTGCTGCTCAGTCGTTTCCCAACGTCCTTCCAGCTGATGCTCGCACACATAAACAAACACACAACCGTAAAGTCTGACCTGTACATCCATCGACCACAAAGCCAGACTCAAACTCAAAGCAAATTTTTCCTCCTTTCAGCACTCTGTCGGTATGTTGATGAGATTAATTCTTCTTTTTGCTGTCACAGGCAATGAAACATGTTTGCAATTTCCCCTATGTGGTGATGTGTTTGTTTATGCTCCCTGTCACTGCAGCTGGTGAAGAAACCCGGTCAGTCAGTCCCAGCTGGGCTCCTTTGGGAGAACCCGGAGCAGAAATACTAATCAGGATTAATTAATTTCCACGGCTCCTTACAAGTCATCCAATTGGTCTGTTTTGTGTTATCTGTCCATGCAACATGTTGCCTAAGTGGTTACTCGCACAGAGCACAATGAATGGACACAGAGACAAGAGTCCCAGTCTGTGATGTGGAGTCATTTGGACTGGTATATTGGACTTTCTGTTCTTGCCAAAGCATTTCTATAGAGTGTTTCTTGAGGTCACTTGTCATTCAGTCCCTTTCCCTCTCTTGGATCTCCTTCCAGTTGGGCATATGGTTGCATTTACTAAAAGAGTGCTCATAAAAGCAGAGCTTAGTAAAACAAAATTGCTCATCGTGGGGTTTTAAGTATTCTTCTACAAAAGAGCCCTATTCCAACCACAAGTGAGGTGATGGTGTAATACATATGATAATATCCAATCCCAGTCTCCATTTGGAGGAGATGGGGGACTATTTTACTTGATTCACTTCCTACACAGGCAGTCACATTGCATTAGTTTTACCCTGCAATGGTTCCTACTGATTTATTTTTCCACAGCGGGCCCTAAAACTTCCCACTCATATGGCCTGTCACAGCATAGTGGTCAGTGCATCTTTTAAAACAGATTTCATTACATATACCAGTAAAACTTTATGTAAGACTGAGACCTGAAAGTTACATTTAAGCTTAAAGATGGATTTGATGCTTGTGGAAGTAGCTGAATTTATTAAATACTTTTTAAAAGGTTGAAATTATCTTTACAGAATGTGTAATAGCATTTAGAGTAATGTACAGTGACCATGCGCTAAAGAACTAGATTTACCAGCATTAAGGTATTCATAATAGTATGCTTTCTATAATCTTATTTTCAATTTTACACTATTATGTTGATCAGGATATTTAATCATTTAATACTTCTTGGATGACATTAGACTGTTATTTTAATGTTTCTTTTTCTAATCTCATTAAACAGTTAATTACTTTGAAATATAACTCCAGGTCCTCACCTTAACCCCCCAAATCAGCCTTTTCTCTTTCTTTAACCGTGACAAAAAAATTTCTTTGTCACATTTTTACAGAAATGCTGCAGGAACATTATAATAGCAGCCCTAAAGCCAAAGTCTAGTTTCCTCAAAGGCATCAGAATTTACAGTATTCAACAATATCCAGAAAGAATATGTTACTGACTACATACAATGTGGGTTTCATGCAGCCTTATGACTGATAAAAAAATAATAATAAGCATTAAAGAGAAATCACTTATCAGAAAAGTAAGCTTACAGGTTTCTACATTCAGCGACTCACTGCTTCTGCATTTTTATTTACATTCATCCATTTTCTTCCGCTCATCTTATGGGAAGGCAGAAAGGCAGCAGCAGTGGTTAGCACTGTTGCCTCATAGGAAAAAGGTCCTGAGTTCAGCTCCACCATCTGACCCCTCTCTTTGCAGGGTAGTCTGGTTTCCTCCCACAGTCCAAAGACATATAGTTAGTGGGATTAGGTTAACTGATGATTCTAAATTGCCCATAGGTTTCAGTAGGTGTCTGTCTCTCTGTGCTAGTCCCTGCCTCTTGCCCTATAATGGCTGGGATAGCATCCAGAATCCTTATTGTTTTCATAATTAAAAAAAAGTTCTTCTGTAGAGGACTTTTGCTGCTCTATGCTAATTTCTTATATTAATCTTCACATTCTGGAGTGTCAAAA